GAATGAAACCTAGCCAATTCTTTTAATATAATTTTTTACTTAGTGCTGCAAACTAACGTGGCATGGAAAAAGAATGGAATGAGAGGTGGATTTGGCACGTGGGCCTTTGGGCCTTGTGGCCTTTAATGAAAATTTCAAATGGCCTTTAGAGATTAGACATGTCAATCTCCTCCGTATTGTATGGACTGTTAGCAAATATAAGTTTCTAATTTAGAATTTCAGTGGATCATGGGCCTAATATCATGAATCTCTAATATTTTAATTTTATATTAAATTATTATTATTAATGTAGCATTGAACCATTGAACCCTGTGCGGCTGTGCCCTACTCCAAATTGCTTTCACTTGCCCAAAAGATAAGAACTGGGTTACGTGCACATGCATCTCTATTTTAATTTCATTTTCGAACAAAATTCAAGTTTTCTAAAGCATGTTCATAGGTATAAATTAAATGGTATTAAATGTATTTTCTTTATTTTCTAATCAGTAGGGTTGAGATATTTTGTGTCACTATTAAAAATAAAAATTAAATAATAAAAATATATTAATCTAGTTGGTGTTATGATTAATCCATTAGTTTTAATTTCTTAAATTTGATTAAAAAAATAATATTTTTTAAATTTTTTAAAATAAAAGGGTATAATGGTCAAAAAAATGTAGAGACCAAAATGGTTATCGAAAAGCGTATCTCCTTTATATATTAGTATAAATGTGAATGATTATTAGAACATTTTGTAATATTTTTACATATAATAATATGTTTAGCCTAATTATATGTATATCAATATTAAGTTGTTTATATTTATTTTTATTTTTATGTTAATTTATTAGTCATTGTTCTGAAGTTTGAAATATAATTTAATTATTGATTGATATTATATTTTCAAAATTTTATACAGATATATATACACAATGACATCATGTGAACAAAGTTTATAATTTATGAACGCTTACCTATAAATTTATCAAATTCTCCATGGTTGCATAATTTGATTATTGCAGCAGTTGAGGTAGGTCCATCAGTTAAATACCCTACACCTTATGAAGTTTCTAATGTGTATTTAAAAGCTGAATATAAAAAGCATGCAAGAATGGATAAGCAAGTTGAAAACTACATGGAAGGAAAAAGGAGTAACAATAATGTGTGATGATTGGACAGATACTGTAAATCATACACATATTATGAATTTTCTAGTGTATTGTAGCAAGGGAACGATTTTCTTGAAATCTATTGATGCTTCTAGTGTTGACACTAGAAATACTAATTACTACTTTCAGTTATTGGATAAGGTTGTGGACGAAGTGGGAGAAGAATTTGTAATTCAAGTTGTTACAGATAATGGAAAAGCACTTAAAGAAACTAGTCAAAAGTTGATGGAAAAAAGACAACATTTATATTGGACTGCATGTGCAACACATTGTTTGGATCTTTGTTTGGAGGATATGTGTTTCTGAAGGTGACTCCGACTACTGGTGTGGGTAGAACACTAAGAGCAAGGAAGTTGACGCCAAGGTTTGTGGGTCCCCATCAGATCATACAGCGTGTGGGTCCGGTTGCTTATCGGTTGGCTTTGCCACCGTCTCTTTCAAACCTACACGATATGTTTCATGTCTCCCAGCTGCAACAATTCTTACAACTTCAAGAAATTGTGCAACAAAAGCAAGGCTTGAGGAACATGTTCAACTCTAAAGAATTTAGAAGATCTAAATTTGGAAGAGACAAAAATGAATTGGTATTTGAAGCAAGACAAATTGTTATTGGCAATGATTTTTGAAGCAAGGCTAATGATATATTGAAGGTATTAGAGCCTTTAGTAAAAGTTTTGAGGCTAATG